TGTAGGATATGAATATCCATTTTGCTCTATATCCTAACTGTTCAGGTAAGGGTTAATTTGAATCAAGAATAAATTTGGAATTGTATCTCATGTCACAATGACTTATCTATTTACGGGAAATGTTATTGGAACATGATTTTGTTATTTACATGACATGACATGACATGATAAGGATTCTGGAATGACCTTGTTACGTGTCCAAGATTTCGGTATTTGTAATCATCTGGGTTTTATCCAATATGCATACATTATGTAACATCGAATTATAACTAAAAACAGATGTTTATAACTTGTGAAAAACAATGTCATTGTCACGCCCATATGCTCATTTTTCCCCCTTCCATCCTGCTATGAAAATGGGGTATAAATATAACTGACGTATGAATACAATTTGAATTGGTTATTGAACACGTCTCTGCTATTCATTTCCAATTTCCAGAGCTCTGTATGAGTTGGCAAATATCCATCATCCACAAAGGGCCAGGCTGATTTTATCCCCAACAAACTGGTGTCAGAAGTTTTTGGGTACAATTGGGAACGGAGTAGCAGGTAAGAGGGTCTTTAGCCCCTTGGGGACACAACTTCTGGAATTTAAGGGTATCATGACGGAGTATTTCTGTCGTGTGTCCTTAAGGGGTTGGGGACCTTTGCCTGCTTCTGCCATCCTCCCACACATTGCATTTCTTGTTTTAATGGGGTTTTTCACTATTTACATTTTTAAAGGGATTTTCACAGGATAATGTCTTTGGTAGACATGGTATTTTGTTAAGTCTTAGGTAGACTTCTATTACTCCATGGGTTGGAGGATTGCCTTTGGTAGGTAGTAGTAGTTATTGTGCACATTTCCTCTTTGGTAAGAGGTTCACCTTTGGCCAGGTGTTAAAAATAATTTCAAGCCTTTGGTAGGCTGTGATGTCCTGTGATGTACATTTACATATGGGAGACGTCCCTAGATTCCTCTTTGGTAGAGGTTGCCTTTGGTAGGTTATAAAACAGATTTCCAGTCTTTGGTGGACTGTGGTATTTATTTAATGTAGATGTCAATTTTGCAGACTAAAATGGTTATTAAAAAAAAAAAAAGGGGGTTAAAAGGTATGATGGATGTTTGGCATTACTCCGGCTTGCTAATTTATGTGCTATTTTATGATGTGCAACGCTGATTTTAAGCATAAAGTCTTAATTGAGGGAATGTCAAAAGTACATGTAAAGATGATGAATAAGAAAAACTAGAGGTTATTTAAGGGGGGCTACAAATTCTAGAACTAACATGATTTCTCTGCATGTATGTTTGTTTGCATAATGAGCCCCTTATTTTTATACTTGGTCAAAAGTACTATAAGCCCACTACACTTTTTCATGAGAGTGGGATGTATAATTGTTTATATGATGAGCCCTTTATTTTCATATTGGGACAAAAAGTCACTTCATTCAAAACGTCAAACACCACATTCTTTCTGCCCTGAGTGTTTGTTGCAGAGAACTTATGTTGTAAATTTAGATGATTATGAATTAGAGAGCAAAATGTATATTTTCAGCGTTCCAACACATGCTTCATTTTGTGCTGTAAGCTAACTTGTAGTATTCCAGTACGTCACATGTTGTATGTGCTTTAAATTGTATGTATTCTGTAAATTATTGTATGGGGTTGCTGAGATTTTATTGCTTGCGACCCAAACTGTCAAGAAGTGGGTTTGAAATTTTGGTCATGGAATGTAGGATCAGAAAACCATGGACAAAGGTTTTAACCTGTGTTGATATGACTTTTGGAAACTCAAATTGACCGGTCAAAATTTTGCCATGCCTTTAACATGGAGTAGTATAAATATTTTGAGTCTTTGAGAGTTCTGACAAATGCAGGTGATACCATGTCTGTGTAATCTGGTCCAAATGTTCTATAAGTGTATAAGAGAGAAATTCCATTGACAGGTTTCATATGTCGCAACTGGTTAATGCAAGTGTTATACAAATGTTTAAGTCAAACGTGTTATATGGCCGTACGGGATCCCTTCTTTAAAAAAGAAAAAAATAAACCCTTTGGTACCAGAAATCTTAAATAAATCTGATACAAACTAGAATTGGTATACCTTACAATAATATGTTCTGAATACAGCTGTTAGAAGTTTATTCTGTGTGACTGATGATTGTCATAAATGTTTGTTTTGGTTACTCATTTTAAAGTATGCAGTTTAATTGTCATGTATGTTAATGGGTATTTTGCTGTGTTATTTTAAATTATATTTGAATAAGTTTGTCTTAGTATTGATACAGATGAAAATGGCAGCGTAATAATCTATTAAATAACTGATTTATTATTGAATACTTGTCCAAGAGCAATATGAGTTGTAGTCTTAAGAAAGAAAAAAAGAGGGAGGCTGATTTCCAAAATTCTGTTGCAATAATGGACTTCCTGCCAAAATTCAACTTTCCTGTCCAGTTGCCAGGTGCTCTGATCTAATCTTAAAGTAGTACTGCTTGCATTGTTTGCAGACATGCATATTGCACAAACATGAGAACCAAATTATGTCTGTCACATAGTGTGACATTTATTAATTTATTTTGGATTGAGTTAATTGCCTGTCCATGAATATGCTTTTTGTATTGGCATGTCTGCTGGATATCTGCTACATGTTTTCTGTGCTATAAGATGATATGTGATATTACAATGAGTATGAAGAATATTTAAAGAATATTTGCATGTCATTAACGCAAGCCTTTAGTGTCTTTTTACAACAGATTAAAAAAACGCTGATCAGCCAACAAGAAAGGGGCCCCTGGGAAAGAAAAAGAAAAAATATATCATTTGCTTTTCAAAATCGTGGATCCACGTTTCAGTATTATTAGGGGAGTATTTAGAGTTAACGCTACTTTTAAAGTGCATTGCATTATTTAAGAAAAGAAAAATGTGTTATGTTATATGGTTATATAACAAGAAAAATTATGGATGTATAGGATAGGTTTTTTTCCAAGATTAAGATTCATTTAGTATGCCTCATTGATTATAGGAAAATGATGAAATGGTATTTTTAATAGAGATCAGATAATTTCTTTTGAGGCAATTCTAAACTACTGTATTATATTTGTATTGGTATATTGAAAGCATTTTGCAGATCCAGAAGAGAATAAATAATATAATAATAATAAAAGGAACCATACTATGGGAAGAGGTCACCCTATTAAATTGCTAAGGGGTTAAACTCATTTTGATAAGCATATAAAATTTAGTTTTTGTGGTTAGAATTTTTGATACTCAATTTGAACTCAATTGAAGTATTAAAACCATATCCTTGCAGGTATAGGAAACAGCTGCAATATGATTTTAATATTTGCAATATATTAGTGTTCTGACAATGGAAAAGTTCCTAACCGCATGTCTGTATTACACCTATGACACAGACTGTCAGTATTGCAAACCCTATGTGCTTTCACTGTTTATGTATACACCCCTAAACGACCGTGCTATACAAACACAATAAATCTTCAAAAGCTTATTAATATTATATCTGTGTGGTACACAAATAGGTGTACACAAAGAGGGGGTGTGAGTTAAGTCATCTCGACCTTCATATGGAATATGCTTCCTCCTTGTTCACTTTTGGTCAAACTGTTGGTCTGTGACTGGCCCTCTTTGAACTGAATTTCTTGGGAAGATTCATGAGAAAGATACAGCAGGTTGTTTTGGATATAAAGAAAGAGGGAAAAGTATGTTGTATCGGTCACAAAAGGATTGTGATCTTAAGCAGGCAAGACAAAGAAAGTTTGGAGGTGATAGATTGAATCAGAAAAGTTTTAGAGGCAGAGGTAGAGAATTTGATCAAAGGATTTAACTTTTGTAGAGATGGTAACTTCAGCACTGTTTTAATTGTGGGTAGCAGGGATTCACCCCAAGGTGCTTGTGTTCTCCTGGCCCAGCTGGCATTCAAGGACTCCCACCCTGGCAGGTTCCTCAATACCAACCACAACTTTCAAGCTATACCCACACCCAACAACCTCAGCCTAATACACAGATGGTTCATGTTTTTAATACTTTATATATAGTTTTGATAGATAAAACAGTATTAATGCTGGCTCTTAGAGGATGTACAAGTTGAAGTTGGGACCTAGACATTGTTTGCATAGGCTGTGCAATGTGAAATAACTAAAATAAAATAGGATAATAAGTATGCTTAGTCAATTTGTAAAGTGGTATAATAGAGGCATCTGCAATAAATTAAGTGGGTTTCCAAGACCTGACAAGTGAGAGCAACTTAATATAACATATGTCTACAGTTTGCTGTCCCTTCCTTATCAGAGGCCACTTGCAACACAGCAAGACAACTCTTCCTAAACCTGTATTAAACAAAGCACTTTAGAACAATAGTAATTTATTTTGTTTCTCCTATTTCATTCCTAGTTGTTCTGAAAAAAAATATATTGTTTAAGTGGGATAACTGTATGGAGGTTCCAACATGTATTAAAACATGATCACACACATCGGGATCTATAAAAGGTTTCGGTTTCCAAAGATGTTATCAGGGTCCACAAAATTTTATTAAAGTAATTAATTGAGATTATCAAATCAAGGTTTAAGTTTAAGAACAGCATTTTATTGGGAATTATACCAATATGTATATGTTAGTGTTTTAGTACTCAACAAGCATTTATATAGAATGAGTGCTTCTCTCATCCATACAAGGCATTTTAAAGGGAAATTATGTATTAAAATTTTATAAAGGACATAAACAAAACTGAGAGACGTACATGTTACACTAGTTAAGAGTTTAACTTTAGTCTCTAATTTGAGTTTAGCCTAGATAATTAATTTATTGATGTCGTACTGATCCTTGTGTTTGTATGATTATAGAGACCGTACTGGAGTATTTGTGCTGCCTGATATTTGGGACTACACACCAATCTCTCTGGCTGACCTACCTTTTTTTGCAATTAAATCTGTTTGGTCAAAAAACATGCTGGCCGAAGAAACTGAGATGCTTACTTATGAGGACATAAAACTAACTTGGAAAGTCCTGAAGATGCAGTGCTGTCTAATGCCGCTATTTCTGTATTACCCTTTCAACAATTGGGGTGTTGCACAGAGTATTGTGGTGAACATCCAGCAAACAGAAGAATTAAGAACTATGTGGAAGCTGACATTGTCTTGTTGTCAGCCATATTGCTACCCTTAGCTATGTTATGGTGTCTAAGATTGTGGAACAAAGTTTATGGTGTCTAAGATTCTTTATACTCCTTGAAAGACTTATAATATTTTTCTGGACTATGCTGGACTATTGAACTATTTTGTTATTTTTATTTTTGTAGAGTTAGCCGGAGAGAGAGGAAGTGTTAGCTTACTCAGGCACGTATGTGCTATGTGTCATTGATGTATGTTGAGTGTACCAAGGATGGATTCCAATGTATTAAGTGTGGATATGACTGGACTATCGAAATAGGGATTTGATTAGGAGGCATAGGACGCAAGGTCATGATTGGGATTATTGCTAGAATTGCAAACTGATTAGAAATGATCTTATGATTTAATATGTAAGTGGGCCTTTTCAAACTAATCAAGAAGTGTTTCCCAATCCCGATACCTGAGCTATTTACTTACATAGTGCAGGTTTTATAAGTCACTAATGCTGTCAATGTGAGGGGATGACATGTTTACACAGTCATGGCCCTCACTTAGAATTTACCCAGATGTGCTTTTTTTCTCAATTATGAGTTTTTGCCACTGGGATTTTTGACCTGGCCCAAGTTCACTGGGTGGACTGGTAATCCAAGACCCTGGTCCAAAGAGGGGAAATAGATTTTATTCCCATTTTTGATTATATGTGTTTACGTTGTGAATTATAATAATAATATTCCCGTTGTTAGGAATAATACACTTTCCCTGTTTTGATCCAAGGCTCAAGTTACAGATAACATGATGTGCAGTATGTTTAAAATTGGTTAAGATGTCAGCTGTTTGAAATATTTAACTTGTACACTTAAAAGATGTGTACAACAGATGATTACAGAAGCTGAAAATCGACAGCTCGATCTCCTCTTAAAGGGAAAACCTACGGCATAGAGCAAATGGGGGAAATCGAGGTGAAGAAATAAGGAAAGTCCCGCAGACGTGATTAGCACGTCTGAATATACCTCCTTTCGTTTCTCTGCCGCAGGCCTCCCATGGATATTCCATAAGGTAGATCACGATATGATCTAAAGAGAGGAATTGTAGGATATGAATATCCATTTTGCTCTATATCCTAACTGTTCATGTAAGGGTTAATTTGAATCAAGAATAAATTTGGAATTGTATCTCATGTCACAATGACTTATCTATTTACGGGAGATGTTATTGGAACATGATTTTGTTATTTACATGACATGACATGACATGATAAGGATTCTGGAATGACCTTGTTAATTGTCCAAGATTTCGGTATTTGTAATCATCTGGGTTTTATCCAATATGCATACATTATGTAACATCGAATTATAACTAAAAACAGATGTTTATAACTTGTGAAAAACAATGTCATTGTCACGCCCATATGCTCATTTTTCCCCCTCCCATCCTGCTATGGGGTATAAATATAACTGACCTATGAATACAATTTGAATTGGTTATTGAACACGTCTCTGCTATTCATTTCCAATTTCCAGAGCTCTGTATGAGTGGGCAAATATCCATCATCCACAAAGGGCCAGGCTGATTTTATCCCCAACAGTCTCCAGTGTCCCCTATGTATCCCAGTGTCCCCTAAGTATCACAGTGTCCCCTATGCATCAGAGTGTCTCAGTGCCCCATGTCTCCCAGTGTCTCTCAGTGTCTGTAGTGTCTCTGTGTCTGTAGTGTCTCAGTATCCTTAGTGTCTCAGTGTCTCCTAGTCTCTCAGAATCCCCCAGTGTCCCCATGTCTCAAGTGCCCCCAAGTGTCTCAGTGTCCCCTAGTTTAAAAGAAAAAAATCTCAGGCACTCACTGTGATAGAGTTAAGCAGGTTTATTGGACACTGCAACTTTCTGACCTGTACCCAGGTTATTATCAAGTCTCCAGTGTCCCCTATATATCACAGCATTCCTATGTATCACAGTGTCTCAGTGCCCCATGTCTCCCAGTTGTTATGGACAAAAGATTTTAAAATAAAATGGCTATTTACTAATGTCTATTTATTATGTGTTCACTATGTTAAACTGGCTGCTAGAGTAAAGCGTCCCTTCCCCCCTACAGTGTGCTTAGTAACTATTTTCTCTGCCAATTCCTCACATCCTGCTAGCCTCCCCCCTTCCCATCCAGCAAGCCTGGTGTAACAAATTCCTGTGTTAAAAGAACAGCTTCCTTTATTAAATTCCTCCCCCACTTCCTTTGTGCAAATTAACAGCTATGTGCCACGTGTAACAAAATGGAGAATCGCTGTTAAAGTAACTGTTTCCTCTTCAGGCCCTTTCTGTCCAGTAACTACTACTCACTCCCCCTCCCATCATATAACCAAGGTGGAGCTGGAATATGGGTGGGAGAACTCTGTAATGACGACATTACATCCTGTATGGGGGGTTTAGACAAGACCCCTTAGACTGTTAACCAATTGTTGAATGAATACTGTATGTTAACTGTGACTCTGTACATGACGTATTTCTGCTTTAAAAGTGGCTCCCACTCCGGGGAATAAAGGATTCCTCAGGTTTTTCACTAATCAGAAACTTTGTCTCCGGTGTGAATTACTTCTAGGAAGAGCGTGCACGCATTAATTAATCAATTTGGAAGGAGTAGATAGACAAATAATCAAAGTTTGCTTTGATCTAAATCACAGTGTTCCCTAGTATCGGTGTCCCCATGTCTCCCAGTGTCCCAATGTCTCTCAATGTCCCCTAGTGACATGGGGACACTGGGAGAAATGGGGACACAGACATGCCCCCTTTTTGTGTATGTTCGCCCCTTTCGGCAGTTCTGGTTATGTGATTTGTGTCAGTGGCCCACCCTTTTACCCCATCCATAGACTTCCTGCTTTACTGGACACTGCTGTTAGGGGGTATGGGTTTACTTGAAAGATGAAAGCGTGAGATAAGCATAGGGTATGTGTTTTCTTATAGCTGCATCCTATGCGTTTCCCTCCAGCACCATCTCCATCAGATACGCATAGGAGGTAGGACTGTTTTAGTGTTTTTCTTCAATAAGATTTTCTAATTAGGCCCATCATAATTGTCAGCACCAGACCCACTGTGCTCTTAATCTGGCCCTGCTGCCACCGCATTCTGCCATTTCCCATCAACTGTTGCTAGCGATGGCGCAATAAGTGACTATCAAAAATCCTGCTGTCTCAATGGTTCTTCCATTTTGTATAACAGTTATGTGACCACTGAGAGATGAAGTCATCAAGAGACCTGAATGTAGAAAAAGAAGAAGGTAAGTATATTCGCCATCCCCTTAGACTCTGGGTGCCACTTTATGAGCAGTCATGTCATCTTCAGGGGTCAGAAGTGACATTGCTAAATATTATATTGCTGTATTAATGTTAAGTTAAATCACCCTTAGGTTTATATTTACTCTAAAACTTGGATTTTATAACAAGACACGGAGGCTCATATTGCATATCCCTTTCTTTACTGTCCAACAATAGCAGCAAAGAATACAAACAGAATGAAAAAATAATGAACATACAGTAACATAGGCCCCTCCCTGCTCAGGTCCCAGTATAATAGGCAGCACTTCCCTTCCATTTCCCTCTTTCTTTGCTGCTCCGACACAAAGATAAGTACATGTCACCTTTTCTCCTCTTGATATTATTCTATTGTACTGTTTTTCCTCATTGATTTTTATTATACAGTTACTTACTGGTAACTGGTAGTATACTGTATTATTTTATATTATTTTATATTTATTTTCATGTCTAGTATTATACTCATGTAACTTAATATTGTATTGATTTTATTTTGGATGTCTTTTATCCTCTACATTGGCTTCTGTGTGTTTTGTTTCTCTCACTTACCCAGGGTCCAGACCTTCCCTGTCACTCTATTCTGCTGTACTCTAATCCTTCCTCTCCTTACGTCCACCCTGCACCTCAGCGCCATTTTGCGCACGTTTTCTTCCCTACCCGGCTGTGTATGCGCACGAATTAAGCCCATTCGGCTGATTCGCCACGCATACATACCATTCGGCAGGCAGCGCGTTCGCCTGTTTGCCGTATTCGACTTTTTCACGTGAACGGCCCGTTCGCCTACTCTACGTTTTCCTTATACTTACCTATCTGGTTCCCGAATTCACCTTTTACCTACCGAACGTTTGGTTTTTTGCCGCGAATCTCGCGGATGCCGCAAATCCCGCGAGATTACCGACAGCCATTTTCTGACTTCCTGTCTTCTTTCCTACCCTGCATCTGAGTGTGCCACTGGTCTGGGCTCTGGTGAGATCATTTTTTGTTTGGCTTTTGCTGTTTGGGTGACTAACCCATACTATTCCTTCTACTTACTAGGGATTATTCTCTGGCTATTCTACCATGCCTAAACCCAGACTATCTTCTGGTTCCACTCCCTCTGGGGAGTCTGATACCCCACTCAATAGGAGTGAGGCCCCTATCACCTCAGGCAATTCGCCCACTATGACGGATGGAACTACCCACCCTGATGGGGCACAGTTCTTAGCGCTACAGCGCTCGGTGACAGACGCTATTATGGCGGCCATGGGGTCTATATCCTCTACCCTCTCCCACACCATTTCACAGGCCCTCCTGTCACATCCTTCGGACGAGCAATACTCGGGCTCCACAACGCCTCTAATGCGTCCCACTGTGTACCCACAGGGAGAAATACATAAAAAGGCTACCCATAAGTCTAAACATACCTCTGCCTCCAGAAACACCATGACTGGCGTACCTATGGTCACCCCAGAAAGCATGCCCCATCCACGCAAAAGAGCCTTTCTGCGCCAGGCAGAATGGGCGCGGCTATGGAAATGTGCCAAAGCACAGTTAGAGAGCGACTCCGACTCAGAAATCGGGTCAAATGAGGAGGCTAAGATTGAGTCGGACAGTGACTATGATGCGGATGCCGCTGATACATGCTTTGACCTCCTTTCCTCTGCTCAAGCAGAGATGCCCGGAGGTGATACAGGGATTAGGAACCCCGCGGCCGGGGGGTCCACCCTGGTGGATCCGTCGGGTGTCCCACTCTTCGACCCGGATGACCTACACCATCCGAGATCGGCAGAGTGGCTCCCGGCTGACCATGTTGCCACATATCTGGAGAATTGGGTCAGACGACCCCT